TTTTTTCCCAGCTTGTCTCCCTTTTTTTTCCCCTGCAGGTTCACCGCTCCAACAAGCCCATCATCTGCAAGGGCTGCAGGAGGACCTTCACCAACAGCCTGTCCCCGGGGCTGCGGCGCTTCGGGCTCTGCGACAGCTGCACGTGCGTCACCACCACCCACGAGGACTCCGTGCCCATCAACCTCAGCCTGGTGGAAACGGCCTCTGAGGGCCAGGAGAAGGGAGATGCTGACAGTGACTGGCCCATCTATGTGGAATCTGGAGAGGAGAACGACCCGGCCGACGAGGAGGAGGAGGGGGATGACAAGCAGGAGATCCACAGGAGTTTGTCGGACAGGGAAGTGCTGATGTAGCAGTGGGAGGGGAGAGGGAGCACTGGGAGCCTCCCCCTGGCAGCAACAGAAAACTGCACATTTGCCCCCAGTTAGTGACACTGTGCTGGTTTTTATTCCTTTTTTTTTTTTTTTTAATAGAACAGTGGGGAGAATCGGAATTTTTAACGCTTTTTAAGTTTTCAGTGCTGTGCACCAGAAATCTGTGAAGAATCTCCTGTCTGGGGTTCACAGAGCTTGGACTTGAGCAATTTCTCTGCCTCTCTGGTTTTGATTTTGCAGGTGGGACATCTCTGTGTTGTTTTGATAACAGGTTTTCTTCAAACAGTGCTGTTGTGGTCCTCAATCCCTGACCTGAAAGGGGCACCACCTTCTCTCTGAAGATGACATGAAATGTAGTTTACATCTGAAGATGACATGAAATATAGTTTACATCTGAAGATGACATGAAATGTAGTTTACATCTCTTACCTTGGGACTTTTTTTAAACTGTGATCCTTCTGTGTTAGGACAGTATTACCTAAACTGTATAAACCAGGAGTGTTTGCTTGGACTGGGTTTGACCCGGAAACCAGGGCAGAAAAACCAGGATAACAAAAATATGCTGCTGCTGAAAGGATGGACAGTAAGAATAGTTGTATTTCACATGTCCTTAATTGCAGGAATTTGGAGATCAAGTTTCTCTTCCCGAATTTTTACTGCATCTTCCTCTCTCAAGAGCTCGGGCTGCAGATCTTCAGATGTGTCTTTAATGTCACTTAGACATCACTAGTCTTGGCTTGAGAAATATTAAGCAAATTATGGTGTCTGGTGGCCTGGACTCTTGGTTTAGACTAAGTGAAATGCCCAAATTCTCTTCAGCTTTTTACACCAGGAGTTCCTTGGGAATTCTGACACTGACAGATTAAAAAGTAGATCCACAGCTGGTGTGGCTGAGGAGCAGTGAAGTATCAAGATCTGCTGTAACAGAGCTCTGAACACCCTTTTTGAACCCCTTTCTTTCTCTTTTACTATAATTTCTTTTAGAATTTGGGGATTCTTCTCATGGTTTATGTTGCTGTGTGAATTTACCTGAGTATTTATTTATTTTTAAAAAAAAAAACAACCTCCACTGTGAACCTCCTGTTTCTTTGCTGGGGTAGCTCAAGGTTTTCAAAGGAGGTGAGATTTGTCACCTTTTCAGTAGCAAGTTGATATAAGCTATCAAAAAATCAGGCTGGGAAGCTTTGGAAGAAAACACACCACCTGTTTGCTTAGGGGTGACCTCCTGTTCCCTAAGGAAGGGACAAAACTGAAATATACTGTGAAATAAGACTGTTAATGCTTCTTTACTCTGCTGTTCATAAGTGTTTCATGAGAAGGCAAATTTTGTGAGTCTTTCTAGATGGAGCAAAGGCTGGACCAGAAGTCTGCAGACAGATTTGGCTGACAAAGGATGAGCAGTTCCTCCCACTTAAGGCAGTATTTCTTGAGGTTTTTGGTGTAAAGGCTTCGCTCTTGGCAAACCTAAAAAAAACCAAGAGCCCTCTGATTTAACCAGTCCTTTTTTTTTCCCTGCATGGTTTTCTTTTCCGTGTTGAAAAAGAACAATTGAGCTTCATCCTGAGTGAAACAGCCCCATCACAACGTCGGGATTTACTTGTGAGAGGTGATTCTGCCCTCACAAGGGTTCACTTGCCTTGAGGAAAGAAGAAACAAGGTTCTTTTTAAACAAGTCACTTCACTGGCGGTTGCTGAAAAGAGCAGAAGATGAAGAGGCTTGTTTTGAAGTCCAAGTTCTTGATGAGTGTCACCTTTGCAAGATCCCACCACCACGTGCTGCTTTTATTTTTCTGTCCCTCAATTTGCAAAAGTTTCAGTTGTCCCTGTTCCAGTTTGAGTTTGTAGCAGCTGAGCAGTATCACAGTGACACATCATCACTGGGGCAAGACCTTTACAAAATTCACTGCTCCACACCCTTTTTGAGCCCATCTGAATTTAAACCATCAAAGGGACAACTTATGTAGGTGCCAGACCTGGAGCTGAGCTCCTCTGTGGTTTTGGGGTCCTTAGTGCTCTTAAAAATCTGAGCCTGAGGTGGGCTTGTAAATCTTGCTGGAATATTTGAAAATGCCACCTCCAGCCTCCCAGGGCTTGTCTTTTGGGACTTCTGGGCCTCTGCTTGATTTTTTGGTGAGTCCCTCCAACATCAGAGGGGTGTTTGTTTGGTATCTGCTTGTCTGATGAAGGAGGGACTCGTGCATGTGAGAGCACCTGAAAGAGGGAGGATCTGGGTTTGTTGGGAGACTCGCTCGCTGATGGAATATAAATAGGGATCCAAGATGACATTTAGAGACCAGACATCCCCATTTCTGGTCATGAAGGTGCCACCTCTTTGTAAATACTGGTAGAAGCCACTAGACATGGAATATCAGCCCAGCCTGGCTCTGGCTGCTTGTGGGAAGATGCAGCTCCTGGCTGAGCCCGTGGGGACACTCAGAGCAGGGAAAACCAACCTCTTGGGAAGTCTGAGTGTTGCAACTTTTCCTTCAACCTGCTGTTCTTTGGTCTTAGAGATTGTTCTTGTGTGTCTTGTGCCTAGAGAATGGAGCTGTGAGGGGTGAGGGGAGGGGGGGGTTGGCCGTGCACATTCCACGTGGAAAGTCACCACCAAACTCGTGTTTCCTGTTGGAATTGTCATGTTGTGCTGCTTTGTTTCCTATGGAGTCCTTCAGCCTTTGTAGTAGAAGAGGATGTAGTTTACCCACATTCTTGTGACCTGGGGGAGGGGGGGGTGTTCATGTAAATCTGTTTTTCTCGTGCTCTCCACTTAGTTTTTTGGGTGTTTTTCCCTGAAATCTTCCCTTGTAGATCCAGCCTCTTACAAGCTTTGAGAAAATGATGTGGCTGTTTTTGAAAATGGTGCTCGATGAAGAATCAAAAATAATGTTTTTAGGAAAGTTATTTCTAATGCAATCTCTTTCTCAAAGGTTTTTAAAGGCCGTGCAGAACGACATATCTTCAAGTCTTAGCTTGATGTACTTGACTTTGTTTAGGAATGTACATTTTAATGTATTTTTGCACATAATTGCACTGTATTTCACTGGAGGAATACATGCTGCACTGGTATTTGTAGCTCATTTAACCTCTTGGTGCAAGCCCTTGTAAATCTTCCAAATGTGGTCATTTGATTTCCTGATGTTTTGTAAGACAGTTTCATAACTGAAGTCCTTTAGTCCAGTTACAATGACAGATTCTTATAAACTGAACCTTATTTGTAGAAGTGACTGAACTATATTTGTGGATCTTGGAGCATTCTGGAGTTTTTTTGATTGTCTAGAAAATAAAACTCTCTGAGAGGGTTGCTTTGATTTTTTTACCATTCAGATGTTGACTGAGTAAACCAGGGAGTGTCCAGATTAAGGCTCAGTTTCTTGAATTAAAATTAATTCAGTTTCTTGAATTAAAATTAAAAAATAACTATCTCCACTTAATTAATCCAATTAAAAAATGGGTATATCCATTCCTGGGGACAGACAGTTTGCAAGAAGAATCAGGTAGGAAAGGACTAAAAGGATCCTGTCCACTTGAACCCCAGCCAAGTGGGTTTTTTAGAAAATCTTTTGTATTATGAACACTGACTTGGCTTTCCAAAGTCTTTGTAGTTTTATACTAATTGAACTTTTTAAACTCTCTAAAGCTTTTCATTTTTCATGCTGGGAAGCAGCCACTGACCCGAGCTGGGAGGAAAAAGCACGTGGGGATGGAGGCAACAGACTCCCAAATATTCTTTCCAGATAATTTTGAATTATACTGGAAAATCCACAAACAAAACTGTATTTCCCTGTTGATTTAGAATATCCTGAGTTAGTGAAAACTATAACAACCCTTTCACTGTTTTCATTCAGAGAGTAAATATAAATCTCGTGGCAAGCACACAGGTTTTCCATCTTTTTCCACGGAAGGTGTGAGGTGCTGCAGCACTCGGGGGGAATGAGGGCCACAGGTTTGTCTCCATCCTTGGTGAAAATGAGTTTTGGTGGGGGAAGAAAAGCAGGAAAGCAGAGCAGGGCAGCCAAGGGCCATCAGAGGGTGAGCAAAGAACCCTCTTCGATGATCTGGGGAGGAGGTTGTTTCAGCAAGAAGAACGTTGGGTTTTTTAGAGTCATTTGTAAATTGTTCTCTGAAAGAGAGACCTGTGAGGGTGGGGAGGCCCTGGCACAGGTTGCCCAGAGAAGCTGTGGCTGCCCC